GTGGGTTCCCTCATGATCCAAGGCACTACTACTCCAGGAAACCTCAGGGAGTGAAGTCGCCACTGTGCCGTCTTGATCAGCACAGTTGTGTAGGTTTTCCAGGTTAAATCATCATCGAGATGCAGGCGCAGAAACTTCGGCTAAGGGTCTGTTTCTCCAGAAGTCCATTATTTCCTTAGTTTTTGTGGTGTTGAGGAGCACTTTGTTTTTCCACAGAGAGGACAAAGACTGATGGTCTAAGAAGAAGACCACAGACAAAATTCATGGGTGTAGTGAAGGAAGAAATGCAGAGTGTTAATGAGGCAGATGAGACACTGTGGTGCTAAAGGGAGCAGCTGGAAAGAAGAATAGATGATGATCCTAAAAGAAGGAAAGAAGACCCAGTTAAACAAATGTGACATAGTAATAGACTTGGTCATTTATTTGTTTGGGAAAGTGATCTAATTTTGGCCACTGTGAAGGGACAGAGTCTGAGATTTCACTAACCTTTGTTCCTCTGTGGCCTCCTGCGCTACAACACACCCACTGCTGTGCAGGGTAACAATGCTCCAGCATTTCCTCCATTTGAAAACTTGCTACTGTAAGTCTAGACTGGTGGAAGTCCAAACAGTTTAGAGCTGGTTTTGTGAACTTTTCAAGCCTGATGAGAAACAGAAACACCAGCTCACACTTGATTGTTACGTCTGTCACTGAAAACACTTGTTTCTAATCACATATTTGAATTACCAGTTAATCTTAGAGGGTCACATACTTTTGCCATTCACAGACGGGTAAGTAATACTGGATCCTGACATTTTGAGGCTAAATAGTGCAACAAGAACAAGAAACACTACAAGAAGGCTCTGAGTTGGCTCTTAAAAGGCACTGAGATGAATTAATTTTTCTATAAGAATATTGTTGCTATCCTATCAGTGGAATCCAATGGAGATCGCTGATTTGTTAAATGAAATCTTATTGTGTTGAACTTTCATTGTCATCATCTGCACACACAGACAAGAACTGGAATCAGGAGGATCGAGATAAAGAGAAGAAGCTGATGGATGAGCTGGTCACCATCATTGAACAGAGGAACCACATCATCAGCTGCCTAGATCAGGACAGACAGAGGTACTTAAGGAAAAAAATAAATTGTGCTTTTACATTTGTACATTTTATCTGAGTGTAACTTTGTTTTTCTGATTAGGGAGAGAGAAAATAACGTGCTTTGGGAAGATGTAATGAACAAAGGTAAGATAATGAGCAATAAAAGCTCTTTGGTACTGTTTTGTATCTCACAAATAATGCTCTATGTCAATGTTTGCTTACTGCTTAATGTTTGTTTTGCTGCTCCTTCATCTCTTCTCAGACTTCCAGAAAGAAGGATTAAAAGAGCTAAGGCAGCCCAAAAAAGATTTCAAGCCTACAAAAGTACTAAAAATCCTGAACCACAAAGAAGAAAGCACGAAGAACTCTGTGGACAAAAAGAGTTGAAGACGTGTCAGAAGCTCTCATTGTTCATGTGTGAACAGTATGAAATATGCACTTATTAAGTACATGCTTACTAATTATGTGTTAAAGCCCAGCTCAGTAACATCACCAAACAAAATGTATTGTTCTCAGTACAT